AGAGAGACAGTGAGAGAGAGAGAGAGACAGTGTGTGGTGGAGAGAGACAGTGTGTGAGTGAGAGAGAGAGACAGTGTGTGAGTGAGAGAGAATACTAATGTTGGTTAGAGTTGGTAACCACGTACAATAAAAGCAAAGACCATTTGTATGTTCTACCACCACCCGTTGATTAGTAGACGAAGGTTAGAAAGTTATAATGTCTTAAAATTGGTGATCTTTAAGCCCCTGAGGTCTTTAGACAAATACTGCTAGCCTAGTATGCAATGAGCTTCTTTATTATTTGACGTCTTTCATTTTTTTATGCTCTAACTTGTATTATTTCACCTGATGACTTAACACCCTAACGCTACCTGGGGGATTAGATTAAGTTGGGCCAATGTGAATGAATAATTACTACTGCAGTGAAAGTGAGTTCTTGAACTGACGACGTGCGCTGTAGAGAGGATGGAAGTAATTTTTTGGTACTGAAGGAGGCCGCTCGTGCAGAACAGTGTAAACATGAGATACAAGTTTCAACTTATTTTTACGTTCAAGCTAGACTCACCTTGTGTAAACTAACTTCATTCAGTATTCCCTCGGGTACAGTTGTTTACTTTGTTGTTGGTTGTTTAAGGACGTTGGTGAGCCAGTCTTTAAAATTCCTGCCCGAAATATTAAACAGAATTTCACTTGACTGCGGAAAGAGGAGATTAGGTCAGTGTCACGACTGTATGCAAATAGTTAGTGTACCATCCAGGGATTACCAGGCGCTTGGCTCCACTTTTATCTGTCTTTAAAAACTGCAGCAAAGGTATGAGAGTTTGGGTGCCGGGGAGGGCAGGGAGTATGGAAGTCCTGTGTTAAAGGGGAAGAGTTGGAATTGTACAAGTTTGGTATTCATATTTTACTTGACTCCTGTACCGAAGAGATTATTGATATTGAAAAAGGACACTTAAAAAAATAAATAAAAGATGGGATACGGTATAATTTATGGGATATTTGGAACTTCACAGACAGACCGTAATTTATAAATGATAGAAATATTTAAAAACCTATCTTACCCACTGCAACATTATGAGTGACTGAACCGGAAACAAATCACACATCACAACAAAAATATATAACAAAACAGTAATGCTAGCGACAAGAAAATAAATAGCCTATTGCTTATCATAATAATCTACACTTGCCGGAGACAGCATATATAATATTGATGTTTTAAATATTCTAAATGTTTATAATGATTTAGGGATCATTAATAATCAAATTTCATTAATTTGAACACTAATTCTTAACCAACATGTAAAGGAATAACTTTGAAATTTGAATAAAATCTACGTCAAAACTTCATTTGTCGAAACGCAAGATAATAGGTCAGGCGTCATTTGTGCGGCAAATTACCTTGTTTCTGGAAAGTGAAAACTGGTGTGTTTAAATGATAGTCAGTTTATAGTGCGGAAAAAAATAATATATATATATATATATATATATATATATATATATATATATATATATAAATTTATATATATATATATATATATATATATATATATATATATATATATATATATATATATATATATATATATATATATGTGTGTGTGTGTGTGTGTGTGTTTTGATACAAATCTTAAGAGAACAGCCTTGCCAGGTAGTGAGTAATCATCCTGATACTTGAAGCTTTGGAGAGTAAAGCATTTACACCGAGTCCTGTGTTATGTCGACGAGGTGTACTGGTGGTCTTGTCGACTCGAGTGCACTAAAGACTTGTTATGTTATGTAGAGGTATATGTCATTAGTTATATATTATATTTAGTTCTTTTGATATACACCAATTAGAGCTACCGATGACACTCGACCAGTAGAGACAAAGATGATTAGAGACGATGTTGAATGTGTGTCCGGGGCTACATCCTCCTGCTATATTTAGACTAGTGCTTGACCTCGCTGGAGTACTAGGAAGGCCCTGGACACAAGATGAACTACCTCAATGCAGCTACAGTACGATCTACTTGATATTTTCACCAGCTCTTCATATTAGCTCTTCATGTGAGTTATTAACAACAGATTGACGAAGACCTCGATGTCATGTTCACCTACCAGAAACACACACACACACACACACACACACACACACACACACACACACACACACACACACACACACACACACACACACAACACACACACACAAACACACACACAATAAACGTTAATATAATTATTTTTAAAAAGTTATTAATTATTTTACACAAACACACACACACACACACACACACACACACACACACACACACACACACACACACACAATAAACCGTTAAATATTATAAATTATTTTTACACACAAAAACCGTTAATTATTATAAATTATTTTACACACAACACACACACACACACACACACACACACACACACACACACACACACACACACACACACACACACACACAATAAATTTAAATATTATAAATTATTTTACACACAAAAACCGTTATTATTATAAATTATTTACACACAC